AGCCAGATTGATGATTGTGTAGAACTCTAGCGTTCTCCACGATATCAATCTGGGATTTCTCCCGGAGAATCCTTTCGGGGAAAGGAGGGATAAGCAGCAGAATACTTCAAGCTGATTGGGCGAAGTGACGCTGTGTGCCCGCCTACCAAGGTTGCCGTCCAGAAATGCACAAAGCGCCTCTCGCTGTTCATCTTTCAAAAAAGAAATTGGAGATACTGCTAAAACTGACTTGATAGCCTCAGCTACGCGTCCGTCCTCCTGCGTAGCCATGTTTGTTTTGCTTCGGCCCGGCACTTCTTGCTTTCGTCAAACCCGGATATCCCGCCCTAAACCCCCAGACTGGCGCGTGATTGGCTCGCACACCCAGTGGTTCGACTCGAAAAGTGTAAGCGGGAGCGGTACAAGATGTATTCTCGAGTGTTTGTGAACTCACAAATACCGCGAGAATTCAGCTTGCAGGCAAGGTTAGCAATAATCTGAGGCTAAATGAGTGGCTGTCAGCTGCGTGTGAGAATGAGGGGGCGCGCTGGGATTAAGAACACTGGTAGTTCGCAGCAGACAAAGACAAAAGCGTGTGAGATTACGCAGAGCCGGCGGAAACGGCTTCGAGGGGAGACGTCCTCAAATAACTGTCTATTTGAGTAAACCGTGCGTACACCAAAAAACATGTGCTTTTCCGGGCGATAATGGAAAAACATAGTATTCTATTTGACTTTTTTTAGCTTTTAACCATGTTTTGATATTGTTTGGAGACCTGGAGTTGAGATAAGATCAACTTTATTGTCCCCATTGCTGCACAGATAAAAATTGAAATAAAAAGGAATATTGCAAGAAAAAAACACAGACAGAAAGTACCAGTAGTGCTTTGAAGTCTCTGTTTGGTCCAGTTCTGCATCAAAATAAGTATTGCCCATAGATGAGTTTTGCAATGTCTCAGGTGAATCGATTTTCTTTTCAATGTAATGGCTGCGTTTGCTGTTACAGCCCACGGCCCGCAATTCCCTATTTTGGGGATCACTTAGTTTCTCTCGTGGTGCCTCTGTGTGTTTGTGTTTTCCTCCTTTTTCAGAAGACCACGCTCGTGAGTCCTGGGCTCCTATTGGCGAGTCGTTCCCTACCTGGAGCTGATTGACTGCGATGCCTGGGTGCTGATTGGGAAGCAGCTGAGGCAGTCCTCCAATCAGCGCGCGCTCACCTGGAGGACACGCCCTAATAAACAATCACCCGCGGCTCGGGGCAGCTGGAGTCAGTGGACTCCAGTTCGCCATTAGTTTTGTCTGTTATGTCACTTGTGCCGGTGCTTTAGTTCAGTGACGTGTGTAGTTTATGTTAAGACACTTTACTTTAGGTTACACTTTTGGTTTTGTCATTGCTTACTTGTTTAATAGGTTATTTATTTACTCTGTGTGTTTCGTAGATATTCAATTCTATTTTGTTTAACCTATTTTGTCATTGTAATAAATTATGATTTTAGTTACCATTTAACATTGTGGTTATTTTGTTACTTACTTTCGCCTAAGCTGAGCTGGGCCGTAACATTGCAACAACAAAAATAGATGTATAAAGGATAGGCAGCATAGGGAGTTACAGGCAGAAAGAAAGTTTAACTTTCTTTCTGCCTTTCTTTTCTTTCTTTGGGCGGCACGGTGGCTGAGTGGATAGCACTCTCGCCTCTCAGCAAGAAGGTCCTGGGTTCGAATCCCGGTCGGACCAGGGCCTTTCTGAGTGGAGTTTGCATGTTCTTCCCGTGTCTGCGTAGGTTTCCTCCGGGTACTCCGGTTTCCCCTACCACTAAAAATATGTCCAATATTTCTAGCATGCGCCTCCTGTACTGGCGACCCCGTTCCCATCTCTGTGTGGAGTGAGAGACAAATGCCCAAAAATTAACAATTGTAAACCGCTTTGAGACTCAAATCTGCAGTGAAAAGGTGGTATATATAAATAAAGATTACTTTCACACTAGTTTCACCAAATATGTTCTACTTAAGATCATGATAATCACATTCTTAAACATTACAATAGGTGACTCGTAAAGTTTACAAAAGACAACTATATCATAAGAAAGTGAAGGGAAATCACAGTTAAACAAATTAAATGAAAAAGTTAGGTGACTCCAACTTTAACAAAAGGATAAAGAACTACTTAAAAATATGGATAAAAAGTAGAGTAAGACCGTGTAGCTCGAGGAACTCACTGCGTTAGGTCCTTGTCTCTAAATGCTAGCGTTTATTTAGTCCGAGCCTCGGGGCGACACTCAGAAGCTGAGAATGACTAAACAAGTGAAATGAAGGGATTTAGATGAATGTGAGTGTTGGTGACTGGATGCTGGCCACAGGCGACAGACTCAGGGGAGGAGACAGACTGACAGATGGGAGACCAGCACATGCCCACGGAATACAATGCCAGGAATTCATATATGTGCACTAGTGTACGCAAATAGAAGCATGATGAAGAGATGTTACCTGGTTAAACCCTGAAGTTGTATTAAAACTGACTTTTGTATCTATAAAAGGCTGCCAGAAAGAACAAGGCTGCATTTTATTATCCCCCTAAGGTTTACTCCTTGAGGAAAGCAATGTAATTTTGTATTGTTTTATTTTAGCACTAGACACAAATATTTTTCTTTTAGTGAGTTTTTTTTTTTTTTTTTTTGACCCCTTTTTGAATTATTGGCCTTGACCAAATGTTGAGATGCTGTTTGACAGTAATGTTTCTAAAACCAAGTGATAGAAATTCCCCAAGGAGGTAGATGTCAGTTCCAAGCTTCAAGTAGATATAGTGACTCAAAAAGTGATCCACCAAATGGTCTACAGATTCCCTCTACAGACCATCCATCCATCCATCCATTTTCTTCCCTTTAATCCATTTCTGGGTCAGGGGGGTGGCAGTCAGAGATGCCACCCAAGTCTCATAGCACCAGCCCCTCACTGACCCTCTGCAGGTGGTGAGTCCACAGGAGGACGGCTGCTCTCTGAGTGAGAGCATAGCCTTGATCTTTCAGTGGGGGCTTTGGGCAAAGTGGGGTTAAGTGTCTTGCCCAAGGACACAACGACAGCAGTCATCAGTGGGAGTCGGTGGAGAAGGTGGAGAGGTGGGAAATGAACCCACGACCTTCTGGCCTTAAGGCCAATGCTCTACCAACTGAGCTACTGTCGCCCCTGTCTCTACAGACCTATGCGCCAAAAATCTGGAACAATCTTCCTGAAGGAATGAGACAGGCCCTTACCCTAGCGATATTCAAGTCTAGGCTGAAAAACGGTTATTTTTAGCCGTGCTTATGACTGACTATCATCATCAGGTGTTGTTTTATACTCTTACCACATACCTTTGATTTTGATTTACTGGTTTTAAACATTGTCAACGTGAAACCCTTTTGGTTGTATTCTGTCTGAACTGTGTTAAAGAAATACATTTAGATTGATTGATTAATTGATTCTCTGGGATTTAATAAAATGTAAACAAAAATCAAACTAAACCTGGGTAGAAGAAGAAACTACTATATGTGTGTTTACCCATCACAAACCAGATTTTTTTTTTAGGACAAAAGCACATTATATAACAGGCTGAGAGTCAGGAAGCCAGTGCAGTGTGGCTAATCTTACCGTAACCTGCCACACTCCAGACTGATGTGGTTAGCACTCAAAAATCAGTTCCACACGTCCATCTGGAAAGGCTCCGGGGAAAACATCTATATGCAACGCAGCGCACAGAGGAATAACTGAGGAATCTAACTTTTCTTTGTTTCCAGTTGACATGTTCCTGCCCTCAAAAGCAAAAAAAAAAAAAAAAGCACAATTCCTCAACAAGTTTTTTTGGAAACTGAAGAATGTTTGTCTGTGAGAGATTCTGCAATTCACCTGCTTTTCGCTCAAAGCAGGTGATGGTCTGTGATCGCCGCTCTGTTCTTTTCGCAATTTCGATACAACAGCCAAGTCAGGGTCTAACTAAAAGGACAGTGGAGATGATTCAAGAATATTTAACAACATTTATGGACATTTATCAACATTTATGGACATTGGTCATCTGCCCCTTATGGACCAATGGCTCTATGTGCTATTTTTTTATCATTGCATTTCTTGTGCTTGAACTTTTTGATTCGCTGATCTGTGTTGGCGAATTTAACGGTTTTGTTAAGTCGACTTTGTGAATATCAAGAGAGTGTATTGTGATGTCGCACGTGGCAGAGGCAACGATGTCTCTAACTTCTCTGTCCTGAATTCATGTAACTGTTTTTGAGCTATGAACCTTAACTAATCTATGCATCATCTCCAATCATAACAATTACTACTATTACTGTAATACTAGCCTTAATGCCTGTAACTTATAATACACAATATAATCACAATTGTCTGTGTGTGTGAGTGTGTTTGTCTTGAATGGTTATTATTATTTATTGTCTGCTTTACAGTCTGCCTTGCTGTATCTATCTCCAGGGGCTTATCCTCTAGACCAGGGCTCGCCACCCGCTCCCAGGTGGCTCCCCAACAAATTTAGAAAGTAAAAAATTCAATATTTCAGAATGTATTATTCACTTGCTCAGTACTATTGTAGATGCAATCTTACTGTGTGCACTAGCAACTACGATATGATGATCAACAACTGTTGATAGTGACTATTCTCAAGCTCTCTCTCACAAATCAAGTCAATACATTTTTTCCCCAGACGCATAGCTTTCTGTCATTTTTCTTGCAAGAAAATGGCTCTCTGGAGGAAAAAGGTTGGAGACCCCTGCTCCAGACATACAACAATGTATCTTATGGTTATATTTACTGGATAGATATATATATATAGATAGATACATAGATGGATGGGTAGATAGATACATAGATAGATAGATTGATAGATTGATAGATGGATAGATGGATACTTCATTGATCCCTAAAGGCAAAATTCAGGACTAAGGATCAAATCAAGACTAAATCGAGACTACACCTGGCCTTTGTAAGGACTAGACCCCAGACTAAACCCACACTGATGCACATAGACACACACAGGGTCACTCACTCAGGGCTCTTGGGGTAGAAAGGCAGCGTGGTGTGGCAGAGTTCGCTAAAGTCCACAGCGGTTGGCTCAGCGGAGATGGCCTGCCTCTTGCTCCGGTGCTGGTCTGGCCCGGGTAGAGCCAGGGTGTTCTGGACCTGCTGGGCTGTGGCGGGCCGGATCACGGAGCGGTACTTGTCCAGCTCGTTCTGAAGTCTCTGGATCAGCTCGTCCTTCTGGTCAAGCTCCAGCTCCAGTTCGTCGATGAGAGCGTCGCGTTGGCGGAGCTCCTCGATCTTTTGCTGCAAGGCGTACTGCAGGTCTCGCAACGTCCCCATTGCCCCGGAAAAAGTGCGTTCAAAAAAATATACTGGATTAAAAATACATCCGGATTGTGAGAAAGTAAGTCATTGGAATGTTTTGTGAGTTTTTACTCAAACAAAAGAGAAAAATCAGCTCAAAGATAGTTTAAAAACAAGAAAAAACATGGCTGACTTTTATGAAAATGACGCAAAAATGGACAGTTTGTGATAGTTCATTACTCAGGAACCAATCGTAAATACTAATTGTTGAGCCGTGTTGGCCTCTGGTTTGGATCAAATATGGAATGATGGAATGAAGTCACTGAACTTTCAAAAACGGGGGCATACTTCACTTATTCCGATAATTTGATATATGAATATACTGGATGAAAAATGGATCAAAAATATGCGTTATCATACTATTAGTTACACCACTAAACGCTGTGAAGGAAAAGTTCTGGGATAGTGATTTCAAGTTGCAAATTGCGGCTAATTGAAGACAGATTTGAGCTAGTAATACATCTGTTAAAACCTTAGTCCAGAGATTTTACATCCGACCTCTTCTACCCTCAAGGTGTTTTCTCATGTTTGCCAAGTTCAGGTAGAATTATTTTTGCAGACAGTTATGCAATTGCTGGTTTATCACACAGTCCAAGCCTCTCTCCTTTTTATGATTTTGGGCAAGCATGATCTCTCTTACAGATCAATTCTACATCTACACCCTGCTGCTAAGTATTTTAGACGTTCCTCCACAAAATCGAGCCAAGTCATGAACGTATAAGTTACCAGGAGCATGTGAATGTTTGCTAAGATAGACACTGTTGTTATGGCAATGGAGAGTGGAAATCTATTTACTTTTCCTGCATTTTATGATTGAATATTGTAAGAAAAGCGCTTACCTTTTTGTGTATCTGTTTTAACAATACAGAAAATGTACTGCTGGAGAAATGTTGCTTTCACTTCTATGGTCTCTCATTATAGAGCATAGCCACCTGCTGTCACCCCTGCTGCATGCATCGTGACTTCTCCCATTGACAAAGATGCCCAATTAGCTTTGTTTTGCCTTTGGTTTCGCAAAAAATCTATATTTTTGTGAGGTTGTTATTGAGTTTTCTTTCTTACCCAAATAACCCTGCTTGCTCCACCGCCATGCATTTGAAATACGGCTAAACAAGTCGCAAAGAGAGTGACTGGTGCTGCAACTTTTGAGTCGTTCAAATAGCGCAAGAGCAAGTGCGAGCAAGTGCAACCAAGTGCAACAAAGTGCTCAAGAAACTTCACGGGGCTTCTGATGAATGAAGGCGAGAAGATGCGTTCAAGTCCACTCCGAGACGTGCAAAAGTTGGTGAAAGATCCGAAACGTGGGGAAAAATCTAGCACCTGTAATGAAATGGCAAAAAAAAAAAAAAGAAAAAAGGAAAGAAATGCCATGCAAAGCCGTCGTGCGTGAGAGCGGAGAGTATTGGAGGAAACAGAGTAAATGTGAAACAAAAAATCACGTAGAGTCTGGTTGCGTTGCGTGCAAATCCAATCCAAACAATAAAAAAGTGAAATAGCGGAGCGTGCGCGCCTGGCTCACATGGCGCACGAAAACGATGGGTGAAAATAGAGAAAAAATAAGACTGTGTTGTGAGTGTGAGAGAGAGAAAGGGAAAAACACATAAATGGCAATCCTGTTGAGTGGATGGGGAGACGAGAGAGGGAGAGAGACGCGTGGAATCTGAGAGTTGAGAGCTCAGAAGCAACGGAGGAGACTGGAGGAATTAGGGAGCCGTGGGACGATCGTGGGAAGAGACGCTGTTTCAACAATTCTCTGCAATGTGGAAGGAAGGGAAAAAAAATGCGTTCGTTTATTCTCTGCCTGAATCCAAGACATCTCTGTTGCCATTGCAATTCTGTGTCGCTGTATAGCTTACGCGCGACTCAGATGAAATGTTTTATTTTTTTTAAAGGTGCGTTTTATATAACTTTTCGTTTGCGTTTCTCCATGGAGTTATATGTTTATACTGAAATAAATAAAATAACTTCTAGTGCTTTGCAACTATAGACGCACGTTGCTGTTTTTTGGACCCCATGGAGAAAGTTTTAAAGCTGGGGTACTTTTAATCCAAAGAAAAAGTCATGTCAGAGAAACATGTAGTATTTATCCTAGAAGAAGACAATTATAACGTGTTTTCATACTTTTAAAGACAGAACCCTGTGTGTCACTATTTAACGCTGCGGGCTGAGAGCTGATTGGCTGGAGTCAGGGTGGGCTTTTTCTTTTTCACTTTTCTGTCTCATACAAGCTGTGATAAAGGACGAACATGCATGCGGTTTGGTTTTGTATACATGCTTGTTCTTGCTATTGTGCCTTTGGGCAAGACACTTCACCTGCCTGGACCCCAGTTATCTTTGCAAATAAGCTCAGAAAATACAACGATTAAACTGTACATTATTGTGTTTTGAAATATCAATCCAGTATAGATTTGCTCACAAATAATATCCCTCCTTTAAAAGATGTATGCCCTGTACATACTATACTATAAACTATACTATACTATGTTATTTTGTTATCTGAGCCTTCTTGTCTACTGTGTGGGTGTGAGATATTTTTAGCCTTTTCCAGATTTAATAACGTTTTTCTTGTTTGTTGGCGATCTGAGCGGATATTTTTACTCAGAGAAGATTAGGTTTGTCGGATTTCTGTAACAATTAAGTCTACAGCATTTCTCATACCATCAACTGTTTGAAAAACTTGGTCATCTGTGTGCAACATTGACAAGAAAAACAAATATCAGTTTTGTGTGATTGAGCAAGACACATCACCCACTTAATGTGTGCATTATCACAATTTTGGGACTAAAATAGCACAGGGAAGATTATGTTCCCAAAGCCATTATTATTATCATTAACGGAAATTTATTTTTTAAAGTTACCTTTAGAATCAATTGAATGAACCTATTTAATAAAACATGAATTAAATTGAGTATTCTTTGAGGCAGACCAATGTATGAACGCGTTACATGGATTTTATTACATACTGTAGAGACATTTTTGGTGGTTTCACATTTACTTTGAAAAATGTGTCCTTAAACCTTAAATTTATGTCCAAATGTTTCTTCTTCTTGCACCATTGGCTCGAAGCAAATCACTTCCCACACTGACGATTGGAGAAGCTTTATTGGTAGAATATTCACGATACATTTGGGATGTTGCTTGTTCTTTTGATGAGGGCAGACTGACACATGTAGGCGAGAAAGACATTTCATAAAGGTCTTTTTTGTACACTTTCTTTCCCGTACAAGGCGACAGTAGCTCAGTTGGTAGAGCACTGGTCTTTGGATCTAATGGTCATGGGTTCGAGCTCACCAAGACCCATGTCATCTGTTCCCACTAATATCTGCTGCCGTTGTGTCCCTGGGCAAGACACTTAACCCCACATCGCCTGAAGCCCCTGCTGAAAGACCAAGCTGATGACGGAGAAACCAACTTCCACCTGCAGGAGGATTAGCAAGGGACTTGTGCCAGATTTGGGTAGCAGCTCTGATTGCCACCCCCCGACCCAGAAATGGATTAATAAAGGAGAAGATAATGACTTGACATGACTTTGCAGTACCAAAGATCACCTCATTTTCTATCACCGCCATTTGAACATTTTAACGTCGGACAACTATCATTTTTCACATCGCTTCAAAACCTCTGCAAATAAATTGCTTTGGAGAGGAATTTTAAGATTACTTCCTTCCCAGAGCCCACTCAAATTTAGCTTGTATTAGAAGTATCAACCATCTAAAACCCTTTCAAATCTCGTAAAGTATGCAGGAAATACCAAGAAATTCAGTTCAATAGACGCACCAGATGGAACTATCCCGATGGCTATTTCCCTAAAAATGACCTCGTGGGCCATAAGAGACAGGACCAAGGAGATAGGAGATAAGAGCGAGGAGAAAGGAGATAGGAGATGGGAGATGGTGTTGTCCGATGCGGCAGGCCCAGAGGAAGTGGGTCTGCTCTGGTCCAATCTTCATTACTTTAATGAGTGCAATTAAGCAGCTGTAGTTTGGGAGGAGGGTCCACAGAAAACAGGCTGCTACAATCTGACCCATTATCACCGGCCAATTGACCATTATATTATTACCTTTCTGAATCACCATGACCCTCTCTGTACTGAGGGTAAGTGTGTTGTTGAGAGCTGTGATAAATGACATTCAAATGTATCTATTTGTGTCGTTGTTTGAATATAGATTATTGATGCCTTAGTGATTTCAAACTACACAAAAGATTAACTGTGTAGTAAAAATCTTATCACTAGTTTTGACATGTATGTATTTTCGGCAGTGATGGGAATAACGGCGTTACTAACGGCGTTACTAACGCCGTTACTAACGCCGTTACTTTTTTCAGTAACGAGTAATCTAACTAATTACTTTGACAGTAACTATAACGCCGTTATCATTTCCGACATCCCGTTACTGCGCGTTACTCAAGACGCACAATGAACGTGTTGTCATGAGAGAAGGGAGGATGAGAAAACCTCTCAGCAATTATTGGCTGATGTAAAACATATTTCCTTTACAATCCACATGTCTACAGTTGAGAGGATGGCTCATAAATTGTGTTTTTGAAACAAATATGGCCGGGTCTTAATCGCGCTCAACCACGGCTTGTATCACCGTGAGGTCAGCCACAGAGTAGCTCATGTGAGCGCAGAAGGCTGCATACAATTCCATCGATAAGCTCCTTGCTCTTCCTGGTTTATCTGCTTAGGGCAACAACAGGTTTGGCTAACATACATATAACACATTTTTACATAATATAAAATGCACATAGGGTAATTTTTCAATTACTATAGGAATGATAAGAAAGAGAGGTGAAGTGTAAGACGGTTGGTTTTAGAAATTGGATGCACTCGGCTGCCGCTAGCAAAACACAGGAGTTTATGGAGGACACACGCGTTTTGTTTTACTTTTTAAAACTCATTGGACTCATTTCCAAATGGAGGATTACATATCTACGCTCAAACCATTAACTGGATTTAAACAAGGAACTGGTCT